TCCAAGCGAGATCTGTGGTAAAAGCCCTTTATTATTATTCATGCTGAAATCTGTTGCAGAAGCCTTCTATGACTTTTATTGCTTGAATGGATGGTAGCTTGAAGGTTATTGCAGGTTTCAACTAACCACTGTGGACACTCCATCCAGAGGTAGCTTGGCACAATCAATAACCAATAGATACATTGAGATGACACCAAGGTCTGGTGCTAATGATGTTGCTTTGACATGAGTGTCCAGTGTGTCAACTGAATGATGGATGATCCCTGGACTGCAGTGGACAACTGCCTTTGGTTCTAATGATTGAGAGAGCTGGACTGCAATATGAACCACCTTTGGTGTTGATCAAACTCTGGACTGCAGAATAAACTGCCTTCAGATGGCACCAAGTGGTATACAACACATGCACTATGATAGTAGCAATGCTCTGCAATTGCTACTGGTGACAAATCTACTAAATATACTTATTGTGAAGCTATAGTTAGTAATGTAAGGTGTAGAGTGGACGGTGATCCACTCAACTCCTATGATGAGAAGCATGTTTATATAGCCATTCCTGCACTGTCACCTACAACCCAGCTTCTGCTCTGGGAGTCCTCCTCTAACACTGCTCCTCCTCCTCTTGTCCTTCCTATCAGTCCTGTCTTTGCACAATGCTGCTTGTTGGCACTGCTCCCCTTGCTTTCTGTGGATGGACAGTCCTTGTTCTGCTTCATAATCGACAGGGGCCATTCCCACTTCATTTGGGTTGTGACTCACATCCCTCACTCATCTCACCCACCATCCTGCTCTGAGTTCATCACCAGGTTGGCCCCCTGCTTCATCAGAGTGGTGAACCCAATGTCTTCAACATTTGTCCTGCTGTGAGACCTGTGGAATTTGGCATCCTCTCACTGGCTCCTGCTAGATCTATCCTACAATCAAGATACTACCAATTCTGGCAGGATTCATGATACAATCCTGCTCATGCCAATTTGGACAAGATCTGTCATAGAGCCTCTATACTAAAGATCTCAATGAACTCTGTTGTAACCCTCGATTTGCCCAATCCTGCGATTCCTGCGCTCCTCCTCATATGACTCCTACTCTTCCAGCTTCTGCGCATCCGGCCCCATGACACTAGTAAGATAAGGTGTAGAGTGGATGAGGATCCACTCGACTACTATGGCGAGAAATCATGGTTATATAGGCGTCTTCACAATGTTGCCTGCAACACTGTGTCAGGGGTCTCGCGCCTGAAACCCAGGTCGGTCTGTCGAGATACTCGGTGACTATCAAACTGTGCGACAGCTATTGTCTTGGTATCGGTGACTATCAAGTTGTGCAGTGACAGCAGGTGGCGTTCATTGTATATACTATCATAGGTTTCGGCTGACCTCTGTGGACACTCTGTTCAGGGGTAGCTCGGCACAATCAATATCAATGCTTCAGTTATGATGACACCAAGGTCTGGTGTGAGTGTTGATGATGATGAGGTTGATGATGTTGGTGATAAGGTTGGTGAGTGTTGATGATAATGAGGTTGATGGTGTTGGTGATAAGGTTGGTGGCATCAACACGAGTGTCCAGTGTGTTGACTTGATGCTTGAAGTGATCCCCAGACTGCAGTGGACTACTGCCTTCAGTTCTATCTTGATCCAGACCACTAACCTGCTATGGGCGCCTTTGGACATCAGGTAGTGGTGATACAACACACACACTACAATGAGGAGCAACCTTGATAGATTGCTGCTATGCTGACTGAAACTAATATATACTTATGCTGAAGTGATAACTAGTTATGGTGAGTAGAGTGGATGAGGATCCACTCGACCTTTGATGATGAGAAAGCATGGTTATATACCTCTTCTCAGCATCACCAGTGATGCTGCTCCTGCTCTCTCTCCAGAGAGTACCTTCTTCATCGAGTACTGCTCAGGGGCCTCTCCTGCTTGGCACCTCTGTGCCTCTTGAACTGTGTCGACTCCTTCGACACTGCTCCTCCTCCTCATGACCTGGTGTCGACTCCTTCTACACTGCTCCTTCTCCTTTGATCAGTGACAGTTCCTTTGGCTCTTGTCTCTCGAGCCCCTGAGTGGTAACCATCTGCATGCTCCTTGAGCTTGGTCCTCCTCGTGGCTGTGCTTGGCCCTCCTTTGCATGTGAGTCTGTAGGAGTCCATGGTCTCCATGGAGACTGCACTACGACCATGCTCTCTACTGATCTCGACTAGATCTTCGATACCTGTGCTCCTTCCATATGAACCCGTGACCCTCCTGCTTCTTGAGCATCCAGGCCCATGACACACTGCTTCCACCCTAGGAGGTCTCCTCAGATGCTGCTCCTCCTCTCTTGCCCTGTCCACCTTGCAATGTTGCTCATTGGCACTGTTTCCCATTCTTTCTGCAAATGGGTGGTCTGCATGTGGCTTCATCATTGATAGGGGCCACTCCCACTTCATCCAAGTGGCAACTTGCCCCCTTCTTCATCTCACCCCCTCCTCCTGCCCTGAGTTCATTGTTGGCCAGGCCCCTGCTTCATTGGGGCAGTGAACTCAGATGTCATTGCCACCTGTCCTGTTGTGAGGTCTGTGGTATCAGTGTCCCTTCACCAGTCTCCATGAGATCTGTTGTATGATCATGATACTACTGATTCTGGCAGCCTTCACTGTACATTCCCACTTGTACCAATTTGGGCAAGATCTGTTGTAGAGCCCCTCTACTACTGATCTCAATGAACTCTGCTGTAAACCCTCACTTTGCCCAATCCTGCAATTCCTGCGCCACTCCTCATATGATTCCAGATCCTCCTGTGCATCCGGTCCTATGACAAGTGAATCTTGATGAAGAAGACAAAGGCAGAGGCAGCAGGCGGAGGGCTCACAGCATACAGGGGATGTTCAACTGGCTTCACAGACATAGAAATGGCAATATGAATGACTGTATCTACTTTGATTGTGTGATGAGAGTGTCAAAGATGGTGGAGCTACAAGGTAGTTCAGATTCTGGAACTGGTTTTTTTTTCTGGCTGACACTTCATGTTCCAACCCTCCCTTGGTTGGTTTTGAAAATTCACCCTCTGAAAACTCAGCTTACATTTGGGGGCATCAATTTCCTGAGCTTTTTTGAGTATTGGAATACTCTAGTTTTCGAGGGCAAAAAAATAAATTGAAACCCCCTACTGTTGCAAAGCTCAGCTGCAGGGACCCTTGTGAGGTTGCAAGCTTGAGACCTGTGTTGTGTGCAGTGGATGGAGCCGAGCTTGTTTTTTTTTTATGAAGTCCAATTTGGTTCTGGGCCCCGTCTTCTAAGGGGCAGATGTCAAAGGGCTCTGGCCATGTGCCGTGTTGCATTTTGTTGAGATGCATTTCGGTTTTGACTCTCTGCTTTGCAAAATGGCAGCAGAACAGCATCAGTCTGAGAGGCGGCCACCCAAACACTGCTCAAAAGTTGAAGTTTCGTATGATTGATGATGATGGAGAGAGAGAGAGAGAGCGAAGAATGAGAAGGAGTCTATATATACAAAAGAGGAGCGGCAGAGAGCCGCCTCAACTGCGGAGCAAGACAAAGCATTTGTCTTGAGTAGGTTGTGACACATGTGGTTCGTGCTCGGATGCTCAAGCCTTTTACTCGGCCGTAAGCACTGCCTTTGAGGTCTCTACGCTTTGTGTAGCTTTTATCTACTTCAACTTCAAAAGCCCGCTGTGCAGAGGCTGACAACAAGATGGAATGCACGGATACCCGACCCTTTCGCTCTCGCTTTCGCTTTCTCCTCTTCGACAGCAACACCAACCACCAACAGCAACAGGGAGCTCTCTTCCTCGCCGTTGTTCCAGTTGATGGACAGCAATCGTGTTTGGCAAAGCATCTCTTGCTCATTTCTGCAAGCTGGAACAGCTTCATTTCCCCGTCTCGCAGCGCAAGTAAGGTGCTTGCAGTTCTTGTCAAGTAAGCAAAAGACGAAGAATCAATGAAAGAGGCCGAGACATGTAATAGCAGCAAGAAGCGATTGTTGCCAGCCACTCTCGCTATGTTGTTTTTGCCTCAAACAGCCCTCTTGAGTAGTGGTGAATCAAGGCAAGGAAGAGTATGGCGAAAAGAAAAGTAACAAAAACAGAAAAAAGAGGTGGCTGTAGCTCAGAGAGAGAGTTCAACACTTCAGATACACCTCGAATACACTTGACTGGGCATTTATTTTATTATATTATTATTATTTTAAATTCGACACTTTGCTCTGCGAAGTGCAGATTGCAAAGAGTCCCAAGCTCTCCCTGTCTGTTTCCGCCTTGGTATCTCGCGCAGGACAAGGGGAGAAAAAGGAGAAAGAAAAAAAGGGCTCTACATTTTCGAGCTGGCTTCAGATCAGTCAGTCAGTCTGTCAAAGCGGACAGAGAAAAAGGAGGCTGGCCCCTTCCAAACCTGAGCTCTGTCTTTATGTCTGTGACTTGGTCTGCCGGTCTGGTCTCTCTCTCTGCGCAATCCATTCATTGGCTAGTCAAGCTCCACTTTCGACTCTCTTGTTGACTCGCCCTCTACCCGTACTCTGCACGCTCCACGATCACGCTCACGCTCACACTCCACGGTCCGCGTGAACCACTCGTTGCTCTTCACCATCTCCATTCATTCTCCTCCATCATCTCGATTCAACCCGTACAGGCACACAAATCTCGCGCGTCAATCGCATTCTCCTACTGCGCATCATCTCGATCTCGTGATCTCCTTCACGCGTGGTACTTCGCATCGCTCGTGTCCGCACATCTCGCCTATTCTCATCCCAATCTTACTGCAACATCCCGCTTATAGCCCCCACCGCACGACACCCGAACCTCGAAGCCGACTTGCCACGGATCCTCCGCAGTTCATCGCATTCTCGTCTGTCGTCTTGCGCACCGCACATTTCCAATCTCTCGCAGTCGACGAACATTGTCGTGTCCAGCCTTAGGATCCCCTCTTGGCCGCATCTCAGACAACAAAACAACGGTCATTGCTTCATAACGTAGCCTTTGTCGCTGCTCACATTTGACCATGTCCAACGCGCCGCTCAATGGCGTCAAGCTCAACCGTAGGTATCCCTCCTTTTTCTAGCCCGCTCGCATCATCGACTCAGCCCCCGTCAACTGGCGCTCAGGATGCTGCTGCCGCGCCTTCCTTGCTTCTTGAAGTGCGAGACACAACCTGTTGTAGCTCGCAGCATGCTCATGGCCTAACTCGTGCAAAGTGCTCGAGTGGATTTGCGAGTCGAGCTGTGCAACAAGTGTTTGTGGATTCGTAGAGCATACCTTGCTGACTCACGTCTTGCCTCCTTTCGTGTTCTATGACTCCTTCTATCGGGCAATCTGCTCGCTTTGCTTCGCATCACAGCGCTCGATGATCCCAACAACGTCATCAAGGTTCTTGCCTCGGACAGCAAGACCGCTGAGCAACGAGAGATCGCCTACACCAACTGCAAAGTCATCGGGAACGGAAGTTTCGGTGTTGTTTTCCAGGCAAAACTCGTAGCACCAGCCGGCTCAGAATCTGCCGAAGGTCCCAGCAAAGAGAGCGATGAAGTTGCCATCAAGAAGGTCTTGCAAGATAAGCGCTTCAAGAACCGCGAGCTTCAGATCATGAGGATTGTCAAGCACCCCAACGTAGTCGATCTCAAGGCTTTCTTCTACTCGAATGGCGACAAGAAGGATGAAGTCTTCCTCAACCTTGTCCTCGAGTACGTCCCCGAGACCGTCTACCGAGCCTCACGACACTACGCCAAGCTCAAGCAGACCATGCCCATACTCCTCATCAAGCTCTACATGTACCAATTGCTACGAAGTCTGGCCTACATCCACTCGATCGGCATCTGTCACCGTGACATCAAACCTCAGAACTTGCTGCTCGACCCTTCCACCGGTATTCTCAAGCTCTGCGATTTTGGTTCCGCCAAGATTCTAATTGCAGGAGAGCCTAACGTCAGCTACATTTGCTCCAGATACTACCGAGCTCCCGAGCTGATTTTCGGAGCAACCAACTACACCACCAACATCGACATTTGGTCCACAGGATGTGTTATGGCCGAACTAATGCAAGGACAGCCTCTTTTCCCCGGCGAGAGCGGTATCGACCAGCTTGTGGAGATCATCAAAGTTCTCGGTACACCTTCGCGAGAACAGATCAAGACTATGAACCCCAACTACATGGAGCACAAATTCCCTCAGATCCGACCGCACCCCTTCTCCAAGGTCTTCCGTCCTCGCACACCTCCCGATGCCATCGACCTCATCTCGCGACTTCTCGAGTACACTCCCAGCGCCCGTCTTACAGCAGTCGAGGCTCTCTGCCATCCTTTCTTCGACGAGCTTCGAGCAGGTGAGGTCCGCATGCCCAACGGCCGTGAAGTGCCGCCTCTCTTCAACTGGACCAAGGAGGAGCTTTCTGTTCGACCCGACCTCATTTCGCGACTTGTACCTCAGCACGCCGAGGCAGAGTTACTTTCGCGCGGCATTGATGTTCACAACTTCCAGCCCATCCCGCTCGAGTCGATGAAGGTTACACTTGATTAAGGGGTGTTTTGGCGAAGTGATGCGAGGTGGCAGCGATGGCTTACCATTCGACGTTCGAATCAAGGCGTCCGGCATAAAGGGGAAAGAGACTCTGACGACTGCTTCCTCCAGCAATTGCTGCCATCTGCAACCATCAACAAAATGGATGGCAAAGCTGTCTCTTCCTCTCATCGGCAGAGCCGCAACCAGAAGCACAGACGGTCCCCTGCAATCTCCTCATCGGACGGATCATCGGAAAAACAGAAACCTTCAGATCAGACAGACACATCACACTCATACCGCTCAGCACTCAAGCTGATACTTATCAATAACCTTCCTTTCCAGCCACCAAACATGCACACACACACTTTTCTGTACATATCATCCCGATGCATCTTTTCTCTTCCAACCTCCCTAAGGTGCCGCCACTCTCCCCTATCGGCGGTCTTTATGTCGTTTCTACTTAACTTTCAAGAAAGTTCTTTCTCCACTGTGCTGTAGCTTCTTCCCATTTGCACGAATAGGTTCTGTTGAATTCGAAACTTGTTTTATCACAAATGCATCGCTTGCTACTGACCGAGCTCATCCACGAAGATTGTGTGCTCACAAAGCTAAGAAGTGCAGGCCTCAAGTGCAAGGCGATTGTGAAGGAGCACAGCCTTTGATTGAAATCAGACGATCAAAAGAGAGGGTGACAATGCGAATTGCGTCAAAGAAAGGGTATACAAATACGAAAACTGAATCGATGGCACATCCACCGACACCAACCACCCTTGCTCCTGCTCTTGCAATCTTTCCCTTCATCCCAACCCAGCGACGCTATCCAGATGATAAGGGTGTTTAACCAACTCTTCAAACAGCTCCTCGGGAATATCCCTCGCTAGTGTCACTGTGGCATTGATAATCTTTCTTGCATCCAATTTTGGAAGGTTCCTAAGCGATTTCATCGGGCTATTACTCTCCAACAAGTCAACCCGCATGATATGAAGCTGAGCAACGATGCAAAGCACATTGAAATGTACACCAAATGCCAAGAGGAAGTCCCAAAGTTGTAGGACTTCAGGGAGAGGTGGTGTACAGGCGCACAAAGTCATTACTGAAGGAAAGGCATAGATTTCTGCCGAAAGATTCTTGGACCGTAGATGGGTATAGAGGGGCTCATCGAGTAGGGATAGGCATTTGTCCAACAGCTACCATTCGCAACGAAAGGAATGTGTTAAGGTTAGTAGTTGCTAAGATAAGGAAGAGGATGAGGAGGGGAGGGGACTTACCTGTAACCCACGATGGACACCAGCAAGAGTCGGTTGAACGTATAACGGACAACAAAACTCAATAAACCTACTGAAACAAGCGAATGCTTCCACTTCGCTTTCGCAAGTATAAAGGAATGGGGCCGCTAAAACATTCATCCCCTGCACATAGGAGAATTCATATACATTTCCATCAACTCCATCCCCTTCGTCGGCACTATCGTCGTTTCGGTGATGCTTCCATACAAAAGCATCTAGCAATCTGATCAGCTTTTCCTCCTTAACCCTCTCCTTAAACCCCTGGTCGGTGGCTAGGGTTCGAAAAGTATCGTTCCGAATCTTCTCATGCGAAGGAGATTTGCCCTTTGCGACAAGGGAAAGATATAGAGGGAGATCGAGTGTTCGGATTTCGAGCAGGAGTTTCCATACTACGCTGCGGTAGGTTGTTGCGGTTGGGGTGAAAAAAGAGTCAGGTGGAAGAGGTGTTGTGAGGATTTTGTGCCTGATGCGGGAGATCGAATCGGACGGAGGAGCGGGGAGGAGGGAGGTGGTGGATGTGGGGGAATCGAGTAATCGACGTGCTGTTTGTGCTCGTCCACCTCTCGTCGAGGGGGCTGGTCTAGGATTGGCTCCACGACCACGACCGCGAGTTGAAGTGTCTGCAGTACTCGATCTGCTCGTTGTTGTTCTTGAAGAGGTAGGCGTGGAAGAGTGGTGATTATGGGACTGCAGAGAACCGAACAATCGCTTCCATTCTCTGGCGCTTGTCGTGGCAGGATCTTCCTTGGAGCTGGTACGGCTCATACTGCTGTCGACGGTGCTTGGTCCTGTTGACGCCGACGGAGAGGATGAAGGGGCTACTTGTGCAGCTCGGACTTCCATCATCGTGCCAGCTTGCGAGTCGGATGAGAGATGAGAATGGTATGGTTGTAGCGGACAGGTGGAAAGTTGAAGATACTTCGGTATTTCCAACGGTCGACGTGTTAGATCGGAGCATTAATTGCAGGGAGACAGAGGCGATGCAAAGTGCAGACAGAGATGAGGTGGATGCGAAGCTCATGGGAGCATATGCAGCCTATGCTCGAGGTCTGACACCAATGTGTGTGGGAGTTGCATTGTCAAGTCAACAATTATGAAGTGTTGTCTGGGTGACAATTATGAAGTGTCACCAAGGCAATGAATAGGGGTGTTGAAAAGGCAGTGATTATGAAGGAGACCCACTGGACTATGGCTCTAGGAGTGACTTGAAGGGCAAGCACAGTTAGCCATAAAGGTATATATACACATGTTCTGTAGCCTCTCTCACCCCAAAATAATAAGCCCTTTTTCTTAGACACACTCGACTGTAAAGAGTGCCTGACTGTGGCCTCTAGATCAGTGTATCTTATTTCAACTTGGTAAGATGCAAAGCAAATCAGTTGGTTTGTAGGACCCTGAGTTGAAGATGTGTTGGCATTCCAACAGGATTCACGGGGTCTGTGGAGCACAAGCAAGACATTGATGAAGCAAAGCCATGCATAGACCATATGCATGTGGGATGCATAAGCATTGCCATAGCAACACTCAGGAGTAGTGCAGGAGGTGACAACTCAGGAGTGATATGAGAAGTGGTTCATCACAGTCCAGTATGCCTTGGAGGCAATGATCAAGTATATATATGCTCACATACATAGCATCCATTGATAGAAATGATAAGCATTATCAAGAAGTCATATGCCTGTGTACAAGAGCTTGCTAGTAGCTCAGGACAAGCATACTGTACATTGTAATCTTCAATTGATTAAGAGTCTGAAGCTCTATCAACTGAGCTGAGGAATCCACCAACAAACTATGGTAGAAGAAACCAAAACCCAAACCAGCACAAGCAGGGCCAAAGGAGGAAGAAAGGGTAAAGCCACCCAATCACAAGTCATCGATAACAAGGCCACCAACAAGACAGAAACCAAGGTGCCTGACAATGATGCCAATGAAGAAACTGACTCCAATTCAGACCTCAACAATGGTGTCAAGCAATACAACTTCTGCACCTTGGTGAAACTCCTTGAGCCAGTGCCCAAGCTTACATCACACAACTATTACAGTTGGAATGCCCACATCAAGTCTTTTGTCTGGTGTGTTCCTCATGCTATGAAACACCTCTATGGAGTATATGACAAGAAGCATCCCAAATGGAATCACATGTTCAATGACACCTTGACCAATGCACTATGCAGCACCATCAATACCACCAGGGAATACAATGTCAACTATTTGATCCTCAACATCATCAGGGAGCATCATACATTCCATCAGGTCTGGAAGAAGATTGAGAATGGCTTGACCAATGAAGCCACCACCACCTCTCACCAAATTGCACTCATTGCTCAGTTAGGCAAGCTTAGGATGTTCAACTCTGATGCTCAAAAGCTCATCCAGGAAATCAGGTCTATCCAGATGGAGAGTAGCTTGTTGGGAAAACCATTTGCTAATGACACCCTGTTTTCAAACCTACAGAAATGCACCATTTGCCACCCAATATACAAAGAGATGGTTGCCACCATTATCCAACTCCCCTTCAGCACCCTTGCCACTGCCTTGACCACTTGGCAGTTGGCAATCAAGAGCAACCCTGATCAGAAGGTCGTTCCTTGCCAAGCCAGTGCCAGAATTGACAGCAGTGATGACCAGGACAAGAAAGACAAGAAGGATGAAGGCTGCACCAGTGCCAAAGTTGCTGCTAGGCCCCAAAAGATTCGATGCTGGATCTGTAAACAATCCAGACATGGAATCAGGCAGTGCAATGCCTTGGTAACCATTCCCAAGAACTCCTCCCTTGCCAAGTCCAACTAGGAAATCTGGTGTTCCTTCACACCAAGTTGGCAGAGGCCCCTAGACTCAAAAGAAAAAACCCATTGGATCTTAGACTCAGGGGCCAGTTATCACATGTTCAACACCTATAGCATGCTCATTAGTCCTAGAACCTACCAAAAGTGAATATTCACCACTGGAAGTGAGGTTCTAAAAGTGACAGCTATAGGAGACACCAACTTATCAACAAACTATGGAGATGTGATTCTCCAGAACATATTGTATGTTAAGTGTCATGGGGGCCGGTGGCGCAGAAAGTAGGAAGAACTGAAATCATATGAGAAGGGAGCGCAGGAATCGCAGGATCGGGCAAATCGTGGGACTTGTGGTGGAGTTCACTGAGATCTGTAGAAGAAACAGCTCTATGACAGATCTCGCCTAGATCAGCATGAGCAACAATGGTATCATAAATTCTGCCAGGATCTGTAGCAAACAGGATCATATGACATGTTCCCTGGAGATCAGTAGCAAGGATGATCATATGACAGCTCCAGTGGGATTAGGGGCAAGTACAGTTGAGGTCGCCACCAGATGAGGTAGGGGCCTTACAAGACAATGAAATCAGCACAAGAAGATGGGTGCTGAAGTCAGGAGGTAGATGAAGGAGAGGGGCATGCACTGTCATTAGGATGAAGTGGGGTGACCCCTATCAGCGATGAGATCATGCTGGCTCCCGTTGTCTCAGGAGCAAGAGAAGCAGGGCTCGGCAATGGGAAGAAGCATCGGTAGAGACCTCTACCATAGTACTCGACAAAGGAAGTACTTGTCAGAGGCCACGCACCTGAAACCTGAGATCGGTGGTAGTATCGATACTATTACCGATTCTGTCGAGTTATGCGACAGCGCTTGTGGTATTGCGATTCCTGGCAGGATATGTAGTAGAGCCATCTCTATTATTTTTCTCGCTCGAATCTGTAGTTGTATGAATGCTATTGCAGATTTTGACTGACCACTGTCAGACACTCTGTCCAGAGGTAGCTCAGCATGATCAATAATGATGTGAACTTGTACTGACACCAAGGTCTGGTGTGAGAGTGATTGTTGGTGGCACTGAAATGAGTGTCCAGTGTGTCGACTGTTGCTTTGAGGTGATCCCTGGACCGCAGTGGACTACTACCTTCGGTTCTATCTGATCCAGACCACTGGTTTGCTATGAACTGCCTTCGGGCATCAGTGAGCAGTGATACAACACATGCGCTACAATGAGGAGCAATCTATTGATTACTACTATGCTGACTGAAAACTAATGTACTTATGCTTCTGAAGTAATACTAGTTTATATGGTGAGTAGAGTGGATGAGGATCCACTCGACCATTCTGGTGAGAAGGCATGGTTTTATACATCTTCACAGTGTCACCAGCAATGCTGCTCCAGTTCTCTCTCCAGAGAGTGCCTTCTTCATCAAGCACTTGTGCCAAGGCCCCTGATGAGGTGCCTCCTCCTCATCGCCTTGCTTGCTTAACCCCCCTGTCTGTCCCGAGCTAGGTGTCGACTCCTTTGACACTGCTCCTCCTCCTCATGCCCTGTTTGCTGGTCCCCTTGACACTGCTCCTCCTCTCTTGACCAGTGATGGCTCTTCAGGCCTTAATCTCATGGCCCCCCTGTGTGGTAACCAGCTGCATGCTCCTGAGCTCGGTCCCCCTCTTGGTGGCGCTTGGTCCTGCTCCCCCCATGGGAGCTCATTGTATGACCATCCTTATCGCTGATCTCCATGGAATCTGTGATAGGATCTCTCCTACTACTGATTCTGGTGGAATCTGCCATACCCCCTCTCTTATCACCAATCTCGGTGTGATCCATAGTACCATCTTCCCTCGAGCCGATCCTGGGCTTGTAATACTATCCTCCCTCCTGCCAATCTCAGTGAGATCTGTCATAGAGTTGGTACTACTACCGATCTCAGTGAACTCTGCCTCAAATCCCACGATCCGCCCGATCCCCTGATTCCTGCGCTCCCTTCATATGAGCTTGACGGACCTTCTAGCTTCCTGCGCATCCAGCCCCATGACAGTACTCTCTGGAGAGAGAGCTGGAGCAGAGTCGCAGGTGATGCTGCAAAGATGAATATAAATCATGCCTTCTCATCATAAGTGGTCGAGTGGATCCCCATCCACTCTACACCATACAAACTAGTTATCACTTCTACTCAAGTATACATTAGTTTCAGTCAGCAAAGTAGCAAACACAAGTAGATTGCTTCCATCATAGTGTGTGTGTTGTATCACCACTCACTGATGTCCAAAGGTGGTTCATAGCAAACCAGTGGTCTGGATAACAATAGAACTGAAGGCAGTCGTCCACTGCAGTCTGGGGATCACCTCAAGCACTCAGTCAACACACTGGACACTTGTGTTGGTGCCACCAACAATCTCATTCACACCAGACCTTGGTGTCAGTGTAAAGTTCATACAAGTTATTGATTGTGCTGAGCTACCTCTGGATGGAGTGTCCACAGTGGTTAGTCAAGACCTGCAGTAACAATCACCTTATCACATCTTTGGATGAGAAAAGTCATAGAGGCCTTCTATCACAGATCTCAACAGGAATAATAATACACAGCATTTTACCACATATCTCGACAGGATCTGTAATAGATGTGTTTCTACTACAGATATCAGGTTTCAGGCACGTGACCACTGACATTACGCATCTCAATGTTAACCTCTTGTCAACCAATTCCCTGACAGATGAAGGAGCACAAGTGGCACTGGACTCCACTGGCGGGCAGATACATTTAGCAAACGGCATGCTACTTGTCACAGGGTCAGCGTATGAAGTGTGTGCTGAGTTGATCTGTGGCAATCATTGGGAATTGACAATCTAATTGGGTTTGTAGAGCATATGATTTGCAAGATCAACTGGACTCTGGGGTCCAGGTTAATCTCACAAGGATTGATTGAAATCAGCCTGATCAGCATGTCTCAGCAAGTTGGCTGTCACGAGCAAGCATTGGGAGATTCAGGAAGGATGATACCAGCATTAGAAGGAGAAGCATATGGGAGATAACCACATGCAGGAGCAAGGACTGAGCTCAGCATCACATGGATGGTTACTACTCAAGGGGTATGTGCATACAGCCACATAGGACCAAGCACAGGGGTGACCACATGATCAAGGGGCTGGGCAACATGGCCTGACATGTGGTTAAGGGATTCACAAGATAAGGTTGAGAAGATGGCCACCAGTGAAGAGAGAAGGAGCTGTGTGTCAGCGGTCGCGCGCCTGAAACCTGAGATCGGTAGTTGTATCAATACTATTACCGATTCTGTCGAGTTATGCGACAGTGCTTGTGGTATTGCGATTCTTCATGTGATATGCAGTAGAGCCATATCTATTACTTTTCTCGCTCGAATCTGTAGTTGTGATGATGCTATTGCAGATTTCGACTGACCACTGTCAGACACTCCGTTCAGAGGTAGCTTGGCATGATCAATAACTATGTGAACTTGCTGATGACACCAAAGGTCTGGTGTGAATATGGATTGGTGGTGTCGACACAAGTGTCCAGTGCATCAACTATGCTTGAGGTGATCCCCAGACCACAGTGGACGACTGCCTTCAGTTCTATCGATATCCAGGCCGCTGGTTTGCTAAGAACCGCCTTCAGATGTCAGGAAATGGTGATACAACACATGCACTTCAATGAGAAGCAATCTATTGATTGCAACTTATGCTGACTGAAAACTAATGAGTACTTATGCTTCTAAAGTATTGACTAGTTGTATGGTGAGTAGAGTGGATGGATCCACTCGACCATTCATGATGAGAAGGTATGCCTATATATCTCTTCACAGCGTCGCCAGCAACACTGCTCCTGCTCTCTCTCGCCAGAGAGTACCCTCTTCATCAAGTACTGTTCAGGGATCTCCAAGGAGGCCCCTCCTCCATATCGAACCTTGTCCCTTCTGTCTTTCCTGAGCTGTGTTGACTTCATTGACACTGCTCCTCCTCTTCATGTCCCTCTCGCCAGTGTCCTATACACAGCTCTCCTTCCTTTGACCAGCGACAGTTCTCTTCTACTCCTGTCCTGTGGGCCCCTGAGTGGTAACCGACTGCTTGTCACTGAGCTCAATCCCTCTCACATGTGAATCTTTGTACAGACCTCCTTACTACCAATCTCTGTGGAATCTGCCACATGATCTCGCTTACTGCAGATTCTGGTGGGATTCGTGATATTGACAATGCTCATGCCAATTTCGCTGTGATCTGCCATAGAGCTGATTCTACTACCAATCTCAGTGAACTCTGTCACAGCTCCTACAATCTACCCGATTCCACGATTCCTGTGCTACCTTCATATGAACTTCGGTCTTTCCTCGTTCTGCGCACCCAGGCCCATGACACTGTGTCAAGAAGACCAGGGATTGTCTACAAGGTGGAGGAGCTGTATCGAAGGGGTCTTCACACATCACCAGGCAAAGAAGGGTTTGGAGGCAAAGGGGCAGTATCACACAAACCAATATGCTGTGTGAGCAGTAGAGGCGCAGCATCAAAGGGAGTGACACCAGCAGGAGAGAGAGTGTTGAGAGGAGGTGAAGGCCTCTCAAAAGGAGTAGGAAAGGTGTCGCAGGCGACACCAAGCGAATGCATAAATACTCTCATTCTACTATAGCATACAAGTGGATCCTTATCCACTCTACTCTATACTTTACATGCCCTTTGTCATGGGCCTGGATGCTCAAGAAGCAGGAGGGTCACGGGTTCATATGGAAGGAGCACAGGTATCGAAGATCTAGTCGAGATCAGTAGAGAGCATGGTCGTAGTGCAGTCTCCATGGAGACCATGGACTCCTATGGACTCACATGCAAAGGAGGGCCAAGCACAGCCACAAGGAGGACCAAGCTCAATGAGCAGGCACAGCCACGAGGAGGACCAAGCTCAAGGAGCAGGCACAGCCACAAAGAGGACCAAGCTCAAGGAGCTTGCAGATGGTTACCACTCAGGGGCTCGAGAGACAAGAGCCAAAGGAACTGTCACTGA